GGCGCGCCCGCCCCGGCCGCTCGTGGCACACCGTGCTCATCCCTCCTCAGCGTGCCTCCAGTTAGTCGGCAGGGAAGCGGGGAGCAGCAGGCACAGAAGCGGGCGCACACTCTACCTTCCTAAGCTGGGAAGTAAGTCCCAACAGCTTAGCTTCCTGAGCGGCAGAGCTCCCAGAAGACAAAGGGTCAGACTGCGAGGCCGACCGGGGAAGGAGACGACAGGGGAGAGAAGAAACCGAGACTTTAAAGGCAGATCACAGAGGACAGGAGGCTTGCGAGAGCTGTTAGCAGGCACCCGCTGCAGGAGCCCCGACCCCAGTGGACGACCCCAGCTGGCCTGCGGGACCTGCACGCTGGCTGCCGTGCCCTGCCCTGCCCTCACGGCAGGCCCTGGCCACTACGCTGGAGGCAGGGGCCCAGGCGTGCACCGGCCGCCCTCGGGGACCGCCTCTCGGCCCAGGGACTTCCTGCCCCTTCTCTGGGGTGGCCGCCTGACGCCAGCCGCAAGGCTGGGTGTACGTCCTCCTGCCCTCAGGGCCCCGGGGGCAGCAAGGACTGTGCTGGCCAGGACTGGGCCTCACACATGCCCAGCCAGAGTGTGAACTGGTGAATGGACACTCCCGCAAGTTATTCTGACCGTGTCTAGAAGAGCGTGGCGCCCCTGCTGCCAGGAGACGCCGTCCTCACACCCAGACGTCCGGGCTGCGAGGCGCTGGCCTCCGCCGGGCTGGGAGGGTTGTGGGGCTGGCGCGGCAGGGAACAACAGTGTCACACCGACAAAACCGAGGGAAACCAGTCGCGGCGAGCAGAAACGGGGCAAGGACTGACACTCAAGAAGCGCCCGACCTCGGGCAAGACAGCACGTCAGAGCGAGTGGGGGGCTGAAGCACGGGCACTGGCAGCAACAATAAGGCGCCGGAGCCGCCCCCACGACCCCGAGCCCCCCCGGCCCCAGGAAGCGGGCACCACCTTGGAGAGGGCCGCCACCCTCTGCGCCAGCTCGGCCTCCACCTCGGGGAGCGTCTCCGCCTTGCGCAGGGTCTGCTGCAGCTTCTGCTCCGCCAGCTCCAGGCGCTCTTGCAACTGGCGGTTCCTGTCCTCCGTCTGCAAATGGGGGCGCGTCAGTGCGCTGAGCTCGACTCCGGCTGACGCAGGCGCCCCAGCGGCAGGCGGCCTGCACCCCCTCGGCCGCGCG